CCTCCCTCCCTCCCCCCTGCCTTTGGCAGCCCTCCCCATCCTCCTGCATCAACCCCTCCCAGTGGACTCGCGGCAGGTCTCGCACGCCTCCATCATGTCCTCGGTGGCACCCAGCGGGCGGGAGAAGGAAGAGGGAGGGAAGGGCGCGTCGGCCTCCAAACCCCAGCCACGGCAGCAACAGCGTATCATCTCCCGGACGTTGTTGGATGAAAATTTGTCGGAATTTACGAAAGGTGCGTGGAGGGGTGGGGACGAGGAGGTTTTGGGGGGGAAATGGGGGAAAAGTGGAGGAGTATCGGGGCGGAGGGAGAGTTGGTGGGGGGGGCAGCAGAGGTGGATGACAAGGGAAGCAACATATGATGCGGGCGCACGGAGATGTTAGGCGCGACAGGTGACACGCACTTTTTTGAAGGTTAAAGTGGAAAATTTCGGGGCATTGGACCGGATTGGGGTTTCCTCCTCCTCGCCGGATTGGGGCTCCTCCTTGGTACTCATAGACGCTTCCTTTTCAACAACCAAAAGTGTCCGCTCCCCTCTCAAGGCTCGTTCACGCCCTTCTCATCCTCCCCCCTCCCCACCCACCTCCGTCCAGGAAAACCCCTCCCCCTCTACATACTCGACCAAGCCTACTTCATGCGGGCCATGATCAACGACATCTCCTTCCTCTCGTACATCAAGATCATCGACTACTCCATCCTCATCGGCGTGGACGAGGAGCAAAAGGTAGGTAGCGGTGGGGTTCAGTCACCGTAAAGCGGGGGGCAATATCTCTGTCGGCGCCCCGCCCGTCTGAGAAGGGGGGAAGGCAGGGAGGAAAGTTAGGATCGGGAAAGAAGGTCGTCCGCGCATGCTAGAGCCCAAAGCTTCAAGTTCAAGACTTCTCCCCTCTGACCATATCCGGACCTCTCCCTCACAGGCTCTCGTCGTCGGGATCATAGACTATATGCGCCAGTACGACATTATCAAGAAAATGGAACGGATGGGGAAGTCCGTCGGGATGATCGCCGGGCAGGCCGAGCCCACCGTGATCCAACCGCAGCCCTACCGCGCTCGCTTTCTGGGGGCGATGGAGAAGTACTTCGCGGGGATTCCTGACAAGTGGACTCCATAGACGAGTCACAGGAGTGGGTGCACACCGAATAGTGGCATGGCTTCAGCGCTTACCGCCGGCGAACACCCGCATGTCCGACACTTCAAGGTTCAGAAGCGTGTGTGGGACATGAGTCGATTTTTCCCTAACCATGCACGCACGCGACGGAGTGGAGGACTAGGTCGAGTCTCCCTGGAGAGGGGAACAAAGGAAGCTAATGCAAAGTCGGCAGTTTAAAGGGAAGTACAGAAAGGATATGAGCGATTGCTCATCAAAACTGTTGCTTTATATTTATGGTGACGAATGCCTTTTTGGGAGTCGGATTTTATGCTTTTTAACTTTAGTGAGCTTTGGCGGGGGCTCTCACCTTTGTGTTGGGGGGTACGCTGTCGATACCTTAGTATAAAGCACCATTCGAATGTAATTGTAGGCCATGAGCTTTTCACGCAATACAAAGCAATGGATGTGATAAGTTGAATCGTATGCATGTATTTGCACTGAGACGTGTGGGAACAATCAACTTCTCTCTCTAGGTTTTCTCGTTCGTAAGTGAGTCAAGCGATGGCTTCGATGAAGTGCATGATCGTGGCTTTGCAAAACCCTCTTCCAAAAACATTCGAATACGCCATACAGCGAATGAGTAGCCACATTATTTCTGTTTTTCGTTTAACGCCATCAACTGGGTGTCTATAGTAATCTTTGCTTTCTAAAAATCTCAATTCTCATTTCGGCCGTGTGGTTTTAAGTAGACAGCTGCCACAACGTACCACATTAAGCCCCAAGGCGAGCGGTAAATTTTGGCAAAAGCTCATGCATAAGGACTATTTTACCACCCTCCTACACGCAAAACAAGGTCGTGGGCATCGGTACCTTCCATTCTTTACATCGTTAGCCCTTTGCATGCTTGGAAACGAATTTGGCAACAACCACATTAGCCTGTCCTCCTCCCCTCCTCTTCCCGCAGCCGCAAGTATTCCTCCACTACCCAAGGCATGAATCTCTACGCAAGTGCTTGTTGTTATTGTCTCCGCCCGATTGCCGCATGCGAAACACTGTCTCTCATGTCGTATCGTTTGTTACGCCGACGACAGCATCGCAATCTTTTATCTGCATCTTGTTTGACATTGAAACCACGCAGTCCGCCAACCGTATTCATGAGCACCACCACCACCTCCTCCTCCCGTTCCTCCACCTTTCCCTCTCCTTCGCCGCACGCCTTCCTCTCCTCCCTCCTCGAGAATGCACACGCTCCTCGCACGCCCCTCTTCCCACTGCGTGCCTCCTCCGTCTCCTTCCTCCCCGACCCGCCAGCTTTCTATCAAACCCTTCTGGACGCCATCGCCCGGAGTCACGATCGAATCACCCTCTCGGCGCTCTACCTAGGCCATGGCCCCATGGAACAGGCTTTGGTTCAGCACATTTTGGCCGCCTGTCACAAAAAACCGAATTTGCGCGTGCAAATCCTTCTAGATCATTCGAGAGGAACCCGAGGGCACCGGCAGGGCACCTCCTCTCTCACCACGCTCGCCCCCCTCCTTTCCCTCACTCGCACCCGGCCTTCCTCCACCTCCCTCCAGCCCCAAGCCCACGTCGCATTGTTGCGCATGCCTCAACTGTCCGGGCCGTGGGCCCGGCGTTTTATCCCGAGCCCGCTCAATGAGGTCCTGGCAGTGTCGCATGTGAAAGCCCTCGCTTTCGACGACGAAGAAATCCTCTTGACGGGGGCAAACCTCTCCCACGATTATTTCTCGAGGCGGCAGGACCGGTATGTCCACGTGCGGGGACCCTGGCCTAATTTTTCCGGGGCAGATGGGGGGGACGGCCGGCTCGCCAGCCTCCCGCTCTTCTACCATGGACTCGTTGAGACTCTGATGCCCTTCGGCCTCTCTCCCGCCCAGGCGCTGGCACCAGCTTCTCAAGGCGTGGTGCGGGATTTTGGGGCCCTGAAGGTTGCCCTGGGAGGCCTG